GGAGCAGGAATTAAGCAGACCTCCCAAAGCTGAATAGGGAGGCTCTGCAGCAAGAATGTATCCAATACAGAAACAAGGCAATGCTAGGATAGTCACCATACATGAAAACAAGACAGAACTAGGAAAACCAAGAACCGGAGAAGGATAGGAAGCTAAACCCAGAACATGTACACAAGACACGAGGGAAACATGAACATAACATGGGCATGACTGGACAGGACTGTACATGGACTGGGTATACAAACTAAAACAAGACAAGATAAGATAGGCAAAACAAGAGGAGAAATAACTAAGCACTATATATGAAAAGTATGGGGATTTAGTCACATTATATGATCATACATTGCATAAGCCTGCCAACAATGTACCCCATGTCTGGCAGGTCCTACACTGCCTAATGTATGCTAAAACAACCAAAGAAGACATATATAGCACTTACCTGCAAGAAAGGGCAGAAGCCTTGAGCAGCTGCCGCAGGAACACTGAAACAAAAGGAATGATGGAAAACAAACGCGTGTGGCAACATAAAACAAACATTTAAAGGAAACCTGGAGACTGGGAATTCCAGGGACGGAATATAAGAATGAACCCAGAAATCCCAGCAATCCCAGCATCCCCATGAGATGCTGATTGGCCTAGCCAGTGTTTGGCTCTGCACCTGCCCCCGTCCCACCCCCTTGGCTGAGATCATCAGTAGTGCCTATGAGAAAGCATTGTGATTGGCTAAGATCACCACTTCTGATGATGTCAGCCAAGGAGATAGATCAGGGGCAGAGGTAGCACCAGCAGACTGGAATGATGGTAAGATTCTAATATATTTAGGAGGACGAGTGGGGGTTCGGGGGGGGGGGGGTGTTAGATTGTGGTTTTAACACTATAGGGTCAGGAATACATGTTTGTGTTTGTGACCCTATAGTGTTCCTTTAAGCTAATTTTTACACATACTAGCTTTCAATTATTTAAGTCATTTATGTATGTTTTAATAAAAAGGACTTGGCCGTGAAGGAGTTACAAAAAAAAGCAGAAAGACCAATATAATAAATGAGCTACATTAAATAAACACAGTGCAAAGTTTATCTTACCTTAAACCATGCATTGCTATATGCTTTGAATTATCGAAAGATCCTAAAATTTCTCTGTTTCTGCATCAGTGCAGTCTATGTATCTTTACACACATACTTTACTCTGTATGTTTAATTAGCTGACACTGTGAATACAACCAATTGTACCCGTATATATTTGCTCTCTTACAGTATATTTATGTTTATAATAATTATATCAGCTGTGTTAATCTGTATTCCTCTTGATTATGTGCAGGAATTCATTTACACAAGTGTGTGGCGGGGAAGTATGCTTAGAATATCCAACCAGATCAAAATATGGAATTTACAAAAAAAATTAAAATACATTTATAGATGACATATGATCAATCTATTTCCTCCTAACAATTCAAATGAAATAATGTCAGAAAATAAACTCGCCTTACCGTTCCCTCTATTACATCCATCATCTGGAACAGATCAAAACTAACTTATACAATTTGTTCTTCTACGGATATTTGTTTTTTATTTTTGTCCTGAAGCTTCCAAAACAAAAGATACTGAACAATTTCTATTGTTTTATATCACCCAGAATAAAAGAAAATAAATAATAAGCAACAGATACAAAATCAATTAAAATTATCTTGTTATTTTTTTGTTTGTTCGTTTTTTTTTTTTTTATCCCTGGACAGCAATTTATATATTAAATCTGTTCTCTTCTAATTTTATTTGGCATCACAAATAAATTAAAGGTCATGTTGTTTCTATCTCTAGATCTTACTATACTCTACGTGCTTCAATCAGGGCTCAAAATTCCCACTTGCCATTCACCTTTGGAGTAGAAATTCACTCCTGGGAGCATAGTATGGCTTGCAGTGGTGAGTTATTTTTTAAATCTGACTAGTAGCACAGGACTTTAAATTCTCTAAGTCCTGCTACAATTATCTTAAACCACTAAATGATGCATGCTGAAACCAGGGTTAGGGCTTGGTTAAGGGCGAGCATTAGGACTCCTTTAATCTTATGGCAACATTGTCAAATATATGTGCTGATCTCCCAGAGGTTGGTGATAACTACAATCTCTTGTAGAGACTGTTATTAAGTGTTCTTGCATAGCAAGACCACTTAATGTTATCTCACATATATATTATTATTATTATTATTATTATTATTATTGAAAAGCTACAATTTCTGGGGAAATTGTGTGAAGTGTTCTTGCCTCCACCAGTAGTCTACAACTGGAGTGGGCGGAGTAACTGTTATCATTTACATAGCACATTTAATTGCAAGGTTGTTGAACAGTTACATTAAACCATACATTTATAAAAACATTAGCAGGTGTTCAAAAGGCCCTGTCTATGACATCACTTGCTGCTGCAGCCTGGCACAGGTCAGAGTATTTTGGCGGTTGCCATCTTCAAACGGTCGTATTTTAAAAACTATAACTCCTACAGTGAAGAGCTTTATATTGTGAGAATCACAAGACCCAGACCTACATTTTGATGCATATGTCTCTGAAGTATTAAAAATGAAGGCACAGTCGCAGTTTAGAAATTGCACTTCAAATTTGAGCTTTGTAGAGTGAAGTTTCAATGAATGTCAATGGACGGCGTTAGTTGCAAACAAATGATTATATTGTGAAAACTATCAGGACTATGGCTTAGCCGTTGACATGTTTAGTGGCAGCAGGGATAGCTGAACGTTTTGATATAAGATTTGTGTAGGTGGGCCTGAAAATAAGGGAGTGGTGACAGTTTAGAAATCATGTCCTGATTTTTCAGCTTTTGCCAGCTCCCACTCTAGCTTTGCCATTCATTCCTATGGGACAAATTGCGCCACAAGAATGACGATATTCCGTGAACCATTCGGCGAAACGTTCCACAAAGTAATAGCAATCCGATCGGGAACAATCTGCACGTTTTGGTAAATTTTTGTCTATGTAGTGTAAAAACTGTGGGAGGAGTTAGGGTGGCATCTGGATCTTGTGATTCCCACAATATAAAGCTCTTCGCTGTAGTATTTATAGTTTTTAAAATACAAAAATTTGGCAACCGCCAAAATACTCCGACCTGTGTCAGGCTGCAGCAGCAAGTGATGTCATAGACAGGGCCTTTTGAACACCTGCTAATGTTTTTATAAATGTATGGTTTAATGTAACTGTGCAACATCGTTGCAATTAAATGTGCTATGTAAATGATAACAGTTACTCCGCCCACTCCAGTTGTAGACTACAGGTGGAAGCAAGAACACTTCACACAATTTCCCCAGAAATTGTAGCTTTTCTAGTTTTCAGCTATTGTCCTTAATTTTATCACATGACAGGAGGCTTCATATTTACATAACTCACAGCAGCACAGATCATAAGAGAACAACCAATCAAAAAATACTTCATTGTTCTACAAAAGGACCTGTCACACACATCACTTCCTCTTTCTTTGCTGCTCCACCCATGCACAGGTCAGAATATTTTGTTCTTGTGACTGTTTACTGTTACCAATTCCATCTCATTTTATAGAAGCGAAACATAATATAACTCAATTAAAATGCCAAATCATTGAACAGGTAGAGGAAAATTCAAGACGTGGTGATCGTATAAAAAGATTGCTTTTCAGGGAGGCTTATTGGATTAGAGAATTGGGGTCTTTGACACCCAGGGGCCTTAATCAAGAATACGATCTCAATCTATTTATTTAAATTGATATCTGGTCCCTCTATCAGTATATTTATTTTATTAATTTTTGATTTATTAATCAATTATCTTTCTATTATTTTTACAGATTTTCTCACTGAATAGTAGTGCTGGCTGCTATTTCTACACTAGCACATCTTTTTTGTCTCTCCTATGGTCTGTAAATTAAAATTGATTAAGTGATTTATTTCTGTGATTCATTTTTGTGATGATGTTACTTTAAATGAGTATTGCCCTATTGAAAGAAATAATAGATGATGAAATTGAAAATATATTTTTGTCAATATTTTATCACTTCTGAATGGAACTGTTTATTATGTCATGTGGTGACCGTCTCAATTACTAGCCCTTTAATAAACTTTGAGAATAAAAATTTAAAATGGAATAATTGCTTTAAGTGAAGATAAAGTAGAATTTAAGCACTTTTGTGATTAATTAAGTTATCTTTATGACTTATTGATCTCAAAAATATAGCATGGATGTCTATTAAGTTTATTTTTTTATTTTAATTTTTTATAATACACTTTCACTTTAAATATTTTTCATACTTTTTCATTATATTTTTCTTATTATATATAAGAATTTCTTTCACTTATACTTTTATATTTTAATTTTTTTATATTTTTTCTTATTATTTTTTCACTGTAGGATATTATTATTAGTTTTTTGTTTAAGTGGCATTAAATTGAGACTGTCACTTTTAGTGACCTTTGATGATCATTGATTAACATGTTGATGTTTTTTTATTTATTTATAAGATGTTGTTGTAATCTACATTAATGATATGACTTATGTATGGGGTTGCCTTTGGGATCCTATTGTGTATCAGCCAGGTTTTGTTATATGTTGCTAATATGTTGCAACTTTAATCAGTGGCACTTTGCTCCCGGTCAGGCAAGTCACAAGTTTGCATTGTGCGCATGCGCACGTCGGCGACTTGACGCGCATGCGCCGAGTGCCGTTCTGGTGCGCATGCGCTGGTGCCTTTGCCCCGTTGACGATTGCGCGTCTTTGCGCATGTGCATTGTATGTATGGGGGCGGTACATTTCGGCATTTAATATTTGATGGCGAACCGACATTTGTGGAGCTTGAATAAATAATAAATAATAATGAACATATGACTATTATATTGTCATTAGTTTTGGATTATTATGTTTCTTTATCTATTTTTATTAATAGTCTTTGGAGTAATTCTATGATCATGTGATTAGTATGCTGCAATTGGCCAGTTGGTGTCACATGATTGTTATCATGTGATTTCACCAGGAAATGCAGTTATTTAGAATCTTCTGCTGCTCCATAAGGTAAAAAGATACTATTGAGTACAGCTGCAATTCTATTTAACTGATTAGAGTTTAATGGTTGAATTTGTGATATGATTGGCTGATACCCTTTGATCTCTTTGACACCCCCTGATAATGTGATTACTATTGGAGAGCTAATTAATCTTTTAATTAGTGTTACTGCTATCACTTGTTTATAACATATGTTTGATAATATACCACATGTTTTTTCACTTATTTAAATATTGTATACACCTATATATTGTGTTTTTGTATGTGCTACATTAGCTTGAAAAAAGCCCTGTTGGGGCTGAAACGTTGCTTTGTAGTTCCTGGTCCAAATAAATTGCCTTAAGAATTGGAAACTATTGGAGTGCCTTAATCATTTTCTACATGTTTACTGTTACTTGTCTGATTTATTCTGTATTCTGTGTAATTATTCATTGATATTTAAGATAGCTTTATTAGCTGATATATCTTTCTACAGTTTGAAGATTGTTTTATTAGGTAAACTGATGTATAGGTTGTATTCTCTCATTGTGTGTTATTCCACTTTGAACAAAGGTTGCTATATTTGTATTTTATAGGTATTTATCCTGCTGTTCTTGTTAGCATGTCCCCACTGCTGTTCTGCCAATACTTGTTTCCCCTTTTTACTTGCTTTTCACAACCCTATTTGAGGTCTCTCTCTTCTCTCCTGGAGCCTGGGACTGTCCTGGACCCTTGCCCCTCGCGAGGATCGCGGCCGTCAAACTTTCTACGTAACTAAAATGTTCTATTCCTTTTATCAATTTTGTCGCTTGTCTCTGCACTTTTTCTAGTGCCATGATAGCCTTCTTTAGAACAGGCGCCCAAAATTGCACAGCATATTCAAGGTGTGGTCTTACCACCGATTTATAAAGAGTCAAAATTATATTTTCATCCTGAGAATTTATGCCCCTATTTATACATGACAAAACCTTACTGGCCTAAGCAACTGCAGATTGACATTGCATATTGCTGCCTATCTTGTTGTCTGTAACAATTCCCAATTCCTTCTTGTGTGTGGTTATCCCTAATTCATTTAGGGTGTAAGTTACTTGTGCATTCTTGACCCTGAAGTGCATAACTTCTATATTAAATTTCACCTGCCATTTTAGTGCCCAGTTCCCCAATCTATCCAAATCCCTCTGCAGCAAAGCAATATCCTGCTCACATTTTATTACTTTACAAAGTTGTGTGTCATCTGCAAACACTGAAACATGGCTTTCAATGCGTATTTTAACACCATTTATTAATATGTTAAATAGAAGCGGTCCCAAAACAGAACCCTGAGGAACACCACTTACCACTTTGGTCCAGCCTGAAAATTTACCATTAATGACAACTCGTTGTACTCTATCCTTAAGCAAATGTTCTACCCAAGAACAAGAATATTCACCTAGACCATTTTTTTTTTTTAGTTTGAAGACTAACCTAATGACCTATGTTTCATAAAACCATGTTGATTATTGTTAATAACAAGGTTCTTCCCAATGAATTCCTGAATATTATCCCGTAATAGCCTTAATACCCATGTTCGATCCACGCACTATACGACACCCCAGGTTGTCGGTATGGACACTGCCAGATCATCTGGCACAATTCGTCCATTTTTTGCTCCGAAAGCCACTGGACAAGGAAGTGCAGGCACCCCTATAAACGTAATGCCCCCACCCCTCCTCCTGCCAGACAAGGTGGCTATCACTCCGGAGTTTGACACCACGGTCGTGGTTTTCATGTCCCGGGCTGGCAGAGAACCCAAGAAGGGCATCGAGAAGGAGCTTAAGTCAGCACAAGACAAGCTGTTGGATCTACTAGGCCCATTGGCTAAGATACTATTCTTTGTGGATCTGGCCCTCTCACAGGGCACATAGTTGGACCCAAGTGACTTCCGCGAATGGGCCCAGTGCTCTATCTGCATGCTGGGTAATGCCAATTCGACCCTCTGTACAGAGAGACACAAGACAGCACTGTTGAGGATGGACTCAGAACTCTTAGAATTGGGCTCCAAAGAACTGGGACCCTTGGCAAAGGAACTCCTATTCATTGAGCCTTTTAGCGACAGGTCAGCCTGTTCACAATGCTGACCAAAGCCCAACCTTCTCTCAAGCACGGCTTCAGACCACCACCTGGCAGGGGTGTTTTTGAAGGGGCTTGTCGGCAGAGGGGCCGAGCCACCAGCCGATTTTGGTCCACTGGACCCAGGTCCTATTCACAATCGCATGTTCACAAGAACAATGACTCATCATAGATGAAGAGATTTGCTTTCTATTTGCAGTACAATTCGCCACAGATGATTGGGGCTTCTACAGAAACATCTTCCTGGTCCAAAAAAGTCGGGAGACTTTCGGCCAGTCATCAACTTCTGCCGGCTCAACGGCTATGTCGTCTATTGACATTTCATTATGGAATGTATACATCTACTCCAGGATCTCCTGATGGCCAATGATTGGCTCACCCGTCTCGATCTCAAGGACGCTTATCGTTCGGTACCTGTGGCGTCTACGAGTCTTTGCTTTCTAAGGTTCGTGTGGGGTCATCAGTCGTGTCAATTTGCGTACCTGCCTTTCGGCCTCAGTTCAGCTCCTTGGTGCCTCCTGAAGCTACTGAAGCTGGTCATGGCCCATTTCCAATCCAGGGGCATCTGTTGCCGTGTCTACCTGGACGACATGCTGATCTTCTGCAACGCAGAATCCAGACTGAGCTCACAGACGTACTTTGTCGTTCACTTTCTGGAGTCTTTGGGCTTCGTGGTGAACAGACAAAAGTCAGCTGTTTCCCCTTCACCGGTCATGCAGTCTCTCGGTTTTCAGATAGACATGAGGGATTGCGTCCTCTGACTACCTGCCACGAAGATTGCATCCATTCGAAAGGAGATTCAGCAGATTATTCGCACGTATACGGCTCGTCTGTGACTCATCGCCCAGTTAGTGGGCCTTCTTCCTCCTCGACAATATTTCCGGGGCCTCTGCACTACAGAGCTCTGCAGCAACTGAAGACAAAACATTTGCGTCTGGTTCACTCATACGACCATTGAATATGCCTATTGGGAGAGGTGCAGACAGAACTTCGTTGGTGGCTACTCCACATGCAAGCCTGGAATGGCTGCTAGATTTGGACCAACACCAGAAGGGACTTTCTGACTGTGGCATTCTGCTCTGCATGGACAACTTCCCGGTGGTCCAATAATTCGACCGCCTGAGCGGAGGCAGATCCCGATCCTTGACGGAGGTGGTAAAAGACATATACATATTTTGCCTTGCTCGCAATATCATGTAGAATACCTCCCGGGGATCACAAAACTCACTGCAGACTGGTCTCCACGCCACTGGCGAGACAACAGCGACTGGCGCCTAGATGTCTCAACTTTCCGCACACTGATGGACCTTAGTGGTCCACTACAGGTTGTCCTGTTTGCATCCAAAATGAACCAACAACTCCCGAGGTTCTTCAGCTGGCTGCCGGATCCGTTTTGCAAAGCAGTGGACGTTTTCCTGCAAATTTGGCCGGATGAAGGAGCCTAAGCATTCCCACTGTTCTCAATGCTGACCTAGGTGGTCCACTACATACGCCTTCACAGAGTGTTTCTCCTAATCACTCCCCCCGCGCAGAGTCAAGTGTGGTTCCCGGACTTTCTTAAACTCCTTCAGACACGTTTCGGATGTTCGGGTCTTCAACGTGGAAGTTTTTTCCTTTTTCCCGGATGGCGTTTCCTTTGTTTTACATGGCGGACGGGATCGGATTCTCCCTCCATTTCGTATCCGTTTTTTTCTATAAATCCCCGACTGTGCATTGTGGACACGCTTTTACAGTGTTATGGACGTTTCCACGGCTACGGTTTGGATTTCTTGACTGTGGGTATGCTTGATTACAATTGTATGATGTTTGGACTTTCGGACATTTGAACTTTACCTTTATTAGTTCGCTACAAAGAAAGAGGAAGTGATGTGTGTGACTGGACCTTTTATATAACATTGACGTGTTTTTTTGATTGGTTGTTCTCTTATGATCTGTGCTGCTGGGAGTTTCATTAAAGAGAGTTATGCAAATATTCTCCTCCTGTCATTACTAAAATTAAGATTATAGGTACACTACGTTAGCATAATCTACAATTCAGCTATTTTTCCTTTAGTGAAACGCGCTGACCTTGGGGGGGGAAGCAGTCATACTGTCACTGTCTCTCCAGCATTTCACATTGAAATTGAATTAATGGTGGGAGCTGCACATAGCAACTCCCAGCCTTGAGTGTAACTCTCACTAATCTTGCCAAGACTGGAGCATGTATGTAAGTCAGGGGCCATGAAACGCACAGTCGTAGAACCAGTCATGCTGTTATATATTGTATTTTACTACATGATGTGATGTCACCTTCCGTGCGCGATTAGACAATATTATCTAACCAATGAAATAATGATCAGATTATGTAAAAAGTCAACCAAAAACAAAACACTTTACAAACTGTCTCCCTCTATATATATATTCCTTGGCTTCGAAGTTAGTTTGCTTAGTAACTTACAATCACGACACATATTGAACAATTTATGATTCTAAACAAGCACTCCCACGAAATGTTTACTGACAAAATATGCATCTGCGTATCTATATAAAAACGATTTAATATGCTATGTAAATACGAAGCCTTTTTAACCTTTAAAACATTTTTCAACAGCAGAAATTTAATTGTTTCAATGTGACATTTGGAAACTGTTTAGTAAATTCCGATTTCAATAAATGTGCAATGTGTGTAAGCTGTTATGATAAAGTTATTCTTGGAAGGTGCTTTTAGTAAATATAATAAATAAGACAACGTAATAAGTGTAAGCAGTGCGTGAGGAAGACAGGGGCCCCAGTGAAACTGACAAATTTCAAACATATCCACTTATAAAAGCAGCTGAAAAGCTTAACATTATATAATGTTAGTTTATGGATGAGTAAATTAGGGAATTTGATCCACCCTTGGGGTGCAAGGATATTAGCAGGGTCATAATGCCCAGAACTGCCTCTACGTTAGATCTTTCTTTGGTATAGAGAGTTAGATAAAATTAATTCACCCTGACTCACATTATTTAAGGGGGGCACTATGTACCATAAGTACTACAGATCATTTTTATGGTTTTGCCGCAAAGAGTTTTTGGTTACAGTTTCCCAACTTTTGTTAGCCTGTTTTCAAATAGTTTGAAACAAACAAACATGGATGGCCAAGAAACTAAACCCTCTCTCTGCCAATCAGATAATACAGGCATGAATTACTCACTATGCATTCAAACGTGGATGGTAGTTAAAAGCTGCGAGCATAGAGGATATCAGAACTTGTAGTCTATTGTTGTCACCAAAGAATTTTTGGATAATGGAGATGTTCAGTATATAACAACTCAGGATTGGAAACTCTGGGTAGTTAGACAGAAGTCGTAGGTGTAACAAATATAGGTTCTTGAGGAGAGCAAGGGAAGTTGCTAGGAATGAAGATGGCGTTTCTCCATAAAAGTTTTCTTCAGGAAATTACAATCCAGCTCTAAAAATCTTAAAAAGAAGCCAACTAACCATTTCCCCAGAATGGCAATCTCCATACTGTGAGATTAAATTAAAAAAACACCCAGCAAACTAATTATGCATAATAGGCCACCCAGACTGTCAGCTAAGAATGGTTTATATCCTGGCACCCAGACAATATTAAGAAATTTGCTCACACCAAAGTACAATCACTGTAAATACAGCGTGGCTAATCTCGATTGGCGTGTCTGCATTAATTGAATGGTTGTAGAAATTCTTCCCAGTTGGCAGCAGAAATAGCACTAGCCAAGTATCCTCTTAGTTCCGTGTCTATAACATGTTGTGCTGTTTTTTTCCCAGCAGATTGTTTTTTGAATTATATTACTGAGCATATACAGACCAGAGTCGTTTATCTATTTCCATACTTCTTATCAGCTTTTTGGATTTAGGATGACAATTCTTGCGACTGGTGGAACGTGGCAGTTGGAGAGTGTGCAGGCCTGGAATTTCTTGGAATTATTTGCCATGTCCATAGCTTCTGAGAATTAACTGTAAACTGGCCAAAACCTGGAGATTGCTTCACTTCCTTGCTGAAATGTTTGTGGCCTGAAGCCTGGAACTCCGCCACTCAGATGTGACCGAGGTAGCATGTTAATGAAGACTGCTCTTCAATTTATCGGTTTCCATAAATTTCCAATAAATTTATATTTTACGATTGTTATCCGAGATCTAAATGTAAAATGTTGTAGTCTGTTACCTTTCCTTGTGTTATCTCTCTGGAAGCATTCATCACAACCAACTTTCCTGAAGTATTTTTTGCAGCAAATTTATTCAACTCCTTGGGCAGAAGATGACATTTTCGGACATCTTTACAAGATTATGGGGAAGAAGGGAGAATAGAAGAGGAGTATTTATTCAGTATTTGTCACTCGAAGTGAGGGATGAAGCTAAAATAATACTTAATTTATTCATGTAACATCTTGAAACAGTTATGCTGTATACAAAATGAAAAGTACAAAGTGTATTAAGTACCAAAATGATCACAAGTGCTACAACCTTAGCAGAAACAAACAGTGTCCCCCCATACCGGGTACTTCTTTTATTAATTGAACATTGAGAAAAATAGCATTCTCTCTAGAACCGATTTAAACATTCAAAACCAATGAGTGTTTGATTTGATATAACATTTGTAGTTCCAAGATTCCACACTGTTACCGAGATACCAGGCCGTGTTCAGAAAATATAGCTTTGAATAATCTCACCCAATGAATAGTGAAGGTCCATGAAGTAGATATTAATGGACCTGTGTATGAAAAGTGTCACATTCTCTTTTTAGGCTGTTTTTTCTGGTGCTTTTCCTGTTTCCATCTATTTATTACTTTTATTTTGTCCCAAAATATGCCTTATTGGGCCTCATCCTTCATGTTATTTTCTTGTAACTTTTTTGGGGGGGATCTACTAATTTATCTCTTCCAATGTATAAAAAAGTGGTGCAAATGAGTTCCTTTTCTTTCCACCACATTTTACCGCCACTACCAGAATAGCAGATTTCCCACAGCATTTTAGAACTTAAATTTTCTTCCGTTTTGTTTAATGTGTTTAAACCCACTCTCTATCGGGTTCAGCTTGAGGTTGCTGCTGGTGGGGCCTAACACTGCGGCCTTGCTTTGCATTTGTTGAATCTGGCAGTGCTATTTCTTCTGTGATCTTCTGTTTCTCCCATTTTTGACCGGTGGGGATTATTGTTGAGGTTGTCACTAGTACGGATGACAAGATGGCGACTGGCTTAGCTGTTAAGTACAACACCTGGCATTCAGAGATACCCTGCTACAATCTGACCATCTCTGTGAGTAATTTTGTGTTTAGCCAAGCCAACAATGGTTGCAGATAACAGCTGACAGTAACCATCAGGTTGGTGACTAGTAACAGTGGCACTGAAATCTTCCAATATCCGCACCTGGTACCCATACCTTGATTCCAATTCTGACTCTACAGGCAAAAGCAAATTGTGGTCAGTCATGCTCAGATGTTGGCTCTCCTTTGGGCCTGGCTCTGGTATTATGATGTCATCGCTTTTAATACGATTAACATACCTTAAAACTTGGTGTTGTCTTTCATGTATATTGTTCCAACAAGTATATTCTACTTGTTACCTGAGTGACGCTATCTAGTTAACTGTATAACACTATCTAGTTAGGTGTACAATGCTATCTCTACTGAACAAAATTATAAACGCAACACTTTTGTTTTTGCCCCCATTTTTTGAACTCAAAGATCTAAGACTTTTTCTATGTACACAAAAGGCCTATTTCTCTCAAATATTGTCCACAAATCTGTCTAAATCTGTGCTAGTGAGCAGTTCTCCATTGCCGAGATAATCCATCCAATTCACAGGTGTGGCATATCAAGATGCTGATTAGACAGCATGATTATTGCACAGGTGTGGCTTAGGCTCGCCTCAATAAAAGGCCTCTCTAAAATGTGCAGTTTTACTGTATTGGTGGGGGTTGTCCGTTCTCACCTCTCTTGCTACCTGTTTTTCTCTCCTTAAGTTTAAAGGGCAATGGAGACATGGACCCCTTGCTCAGGGGGCCTATAGGGATATTGGCTATACCTCACTGATGATACCTTACAAGATTGAAACGATCGCCTGGGGTTGATGTATCTCTCGTGCAGAGGGAACTTGCTGGCATTTCGCCCGTAAGGGTGGGGGACCAGTCTGATATGCTTCAGATATGTTCTCTCTGCAATGGCACAAGATGAACTAAATCCAGCTTGAGATCTGAGCGGGAACCCACTCAAGCGCAGGCTAATTGAGCTGTTGTCCGTTCTCAACTCTCTTGCTACTTTTCTCTCCTTAAAATGTATCTTAATACTCAGCAGTCCAGTGTATTAATGTGTTTCTTCGTAGCATTAAAATGTTAGTTATTGTGAGCAATTTGTATATAGACTGACTGAAACATTTGTTATTGGGAAATGTATCTTTCACGTTAGGACTAAATTCATCCTCCCCCCTTTTTTTTTTTTTTCCTTCCGGAGAAGGAACAAACAGACCCATGATGAATTGAGAAAGATAACATTTTGCAATGTCACAATATCCTGCTTTTACAAAATATCAAGCTTGGCAAATCCTCTGTTCTTTCTCTGGATTGGTCATCCCGAGAGGGACGTTGCAAATTCCAGTCTTATCTCCAGACGTAACTTCTCTTCTTCCAAGTTTTTCTTTAAATAAAAGGAGTCCAAGACAAACATGTTAATTTTATTAATAAAATATTCAGGCATTTCAGAGGAATGTATTCACGTTCCCTTTAGTGGGAATAGCTGTTGGGTTTTGATGCATTTCATTTGGCCCTTTCACAATTGGCATGAGGAAGATGTGCAGGCAAATCAGCAAGAACAGTCGGCAATAGAAACTTTCTCCGATACATTTTACAACTTCCAAGTGATTATTGACAATAAATGCTCAGAATTTGATATATAAATCTTAGGAGCAACCAATCTATTCCTTTGTTTATTTTAACACAGACACAGTTTAATTGTACGAGGATTATGAGGAAATTTTTTTTAATTTAAATTAAATGTCTCACTGGTATCTTTCTGACTGCAGGTGTGATGTCAGAAAGCTGTTTTGTTAACCCCTTCACACCGTTACGGCGTTCTCTGCCGTCCCGCATTTAAAGGGCTTTAAAGCCATTGCGGCGGCATAGAACGCCGTAACGGCTTAAGCCCCCTGGAGATCGGAGGTACTTACCTCCGCCACGATCCTCTTCTGGAGGGCTGCCTGACAGCCAAGGCAGCCCTCCCCCGGCAAATGAGGCCCCCGGGGGCCACGTGATCGCTCTCAAAGAGAGATCACGTGGCCCCCTATAGCTGGCTGTGGATCTGCCAGCAGGGGGATGTTGGGGAAAATATTATGATTATATATATCATTTTAATATGTGCTTGATTAATTCTGTGTGTATGGGAGGTCAGGAATTATCTTCAAAGGGAGTTTCTGTTTAGATAGTTGGAAAGATACAGCACCTGAAAGGCACCGATCACATTTACATATCAACTGGTCTTCAAAGGAGTCCCTATCTAGGAAAACACACCTTGGGTTAGAGGGAAAGGGATGGCTGGGAGAGTTAACACTTAAATAAAATAACAGGATAGACAACACTTTGGGCCTTGGGAAAGGAAATCACATTTACATATCAATTGAGCTGAGGAATTGGCTATTTACAACATGGGAACCAATTCCTTTAAAAATAGAAGATACTGACATCACATTAGATTAGGTTTGGTAAGACACACAAGCTGCACATAACATGCACAGCACATACACAATGTAGCAGATATTATTATACACAATGTAGCAGATATTATTATACACAATGTAGCAGATATTATTATACACAATGTAGCAGATAGTATTAGATAGATGGAATGTATGAGTGTTATGAATGTATTGTAACTGTAATACTATAACTCTGTAACATTCTTCTGTAATATTTAACTGGGCAGATTCTAAGTAAATATTTCTCTCTGGTAAGAACTCAGGTGTTGGCTGTTTATTTGTAATATCGGGTAGAATACCTTAGTAGTTCTAGTCATATATTTATCTGGACAGGGGGATAAAGCTATATGTTGGTTCTTGGAAGAGGTGACACAGGGATATTACATTCACTATTAAAACACAACGCAGAGTGGATTTCTCTCAAAAGGAAACCAATTGGAAGTATTGGTGGTGAGAGAAGGATTATACACCAGGGGACTGTCTGAAATGTCAGACAGTCCCCCTGCTGGTGGGAAGTGTAAAAAAAAAAACATTAAACATGTTTAAAATTAATTAAAAGTATTTATATATATATATATATATATAATATATGTATATCTATTATATATATAATATATATACATATTATATATGTAATGTCATACGTAATGTATTTTAATATTAATATAAGTACATATATTAGTATTAAAATACTTAGAATGATGTTACATATATATAATATGTATATATATTATATATATAATAGATATATACACATATATATATATATATGTATATACGTATAATTACAATAATAAATAAATAAAATAATAAAATAAATAAATAAAATATTGAAACAAAATTTAATATAAATTATATATTCATATGTAATTTCATTCTAACTGTATTTTGTTATTAATATATATATATTGGTAACAAAATACATTTAGAATGACATTCTATATATATCTATCTAAATATAAAGATTACATTAGTATACACGTAGAATTTAAATACCTATAAATGCATATATATTAAAATTCTACGTGTATATTTAAGTAATCTTTTAACATAATTATGTGATTTGATTAATTAAAATTTGATTGACATGTCTGACAACACAGGGAGAAAGTGCAGAGAATTTAATTCGCAAGCACTATATTTGACCCTGTAACTCTCCAAGACTCAATAAAACCTGTACATAGGGGGTACTGTTTTACTCGGGAGACTTCGCTGAACTCAAATATTAGTGTTTCAAAATGATAAATTGTATTACAACGATGATATTTTAAGTAAAAGTGACGTTTTTTGCATTTTTTACAAACGAACGGCACTTTTATGGACTATATTACTATTGTAATATGTTTTACTGTTTTAAAACACTAATATTTGTGTTTAGTGAAGTCTCCCGAGAATAACAGTACCCCCCATGTACAGGTTTTATGGTGTTTTGGAAAGTTAGAGAGTCACATATAAGGCTTGCATTTCATTTTTTTGACATTGAAATTTGCCAGATTGGTTATGTTGCCTTGGAGAGCGCATGGTAGCCCAGGAATGAGAATTACCCCCATGATGGCATACCATTTGCAAAAGTAGACAACCCAAGGTGTTGCAAGTGGGGTATGTCCAGTCTTTATTAGTAGCGACTTAGTCACAAACACTGAGTCTCGCGATGTGACTGCCGCGCGGAGCGTTGCTACGGTAATCCGTGGCAACGCTCTGACCCCGCGGCTCTCGCGAGATTTACAGTGGAGGAGAAGGGAGCTAACCGGCACGCAGGAAAAGGGAGCTGACAAGAGCTGCAGGAAAGGTAAGTTACAGCTCGCTGCGAGCCCCCAACAGGACCGTCGTGCTTGTAATGAGCCCGGCGGTCCTGGTCTGTATTATGGCAATGTAAGTTGCCATAATACAGACCTTGACTCGAGTATAAGTCGAGTGGTGGTTTTTCAGCACAAAAAATGTGCCGAAAAACTCGGCTTATACTCGAGTATATACGGTAATAATTTTTCTCCATAGCACATGAGTGTCACATAAATAAAAATTGAGACATTATTCTTCCAAATCAGCACCTATTTTCTGTGTGTCTGACTTTCAAAACAAAAAAGCTTTATTCACACACATACAAAAATATTAATATAAACTGATGATCACTGCCCTGCTTCATGTCACCCCGGCCCCTTTAAAACCACCTGTGGCTGCTGACATATAATGAGTATTGTACTCCACAGCAGCTGGAACAGCAAAACCTGCTAATCCCAGTAAATGTAATGAGAGAAAATAGTTATACAAAAACATATTCATACAGCAATGACATCACACGTTTACCTTCCATTTTCCGAAGCCAGCATTCGTAGCTCTGAGAGCTGCATGTGCTGCTGTGTACGTATGATGTCATTCTTGCTGTACGCCACCTTGCTATGGATGGCGTCCTGGGGACAATGCTGCTAACAGAAATCAGGGAGGGAGTTCTAATGAGCTTGGCATGTTCTGCTTCCAATAGATTCCAACATCCCACGTCCCTTGTGACCCCATGAAAAAGGAGAATCAGTGAAGGAGTCACCTGAACTCTTAATGTAAACAGAATGCGTCATGGCAGCCCAGAGAGGGCACCGCAATTAGCTGGGAAAAGAAGATTTTACTAAACCCCTGAATATATCATTTATATGTCTGTCTGTCATATTAGTATACATATGTGTGTATGTATATTTATTTATGTAAATGCAAGCATGTATAAGTGTTTAAACTTACAATTTATTTCCCTATACTCAAACTATTACCATCTCCACTTCAGAGGAGTGTGTGTGTGTATGTGTGTTTGTGTGTGTGTGTGCATGTGTGTGTGTGTGATCGACAGGCATACACTGCTTGCCAACTTAAAAAAAGAGCAACGTATCAAAGCTTATGTTATTAGTTCAACAACAAATGACTAAACAATATTCCACACCTCATGAAAGATCTACACACACACACACACCACAAACACACACCACAAACACACTACATGCATATAGTTATGAAGTTATAACTACTCTGCTTAATTAAGCACATAGCTGGTGACCAGTTAGTAGGGAAGCAACATTATATTGACTTTCTGTCTTTTTATAAGAGTGTAGAAAGTGTCTATTTAGCTCACTCTGTGGGCTCTGGTTAGTAGTTTGTGAGTGAAGTGCGTCAGGAACAGAGCTGGCGAATACTGTTTATATATCTCTTCTCTTGGTATTTACTGTTCCTGCCCATGCCAGGACCATAAATCTTACATTAATTAAGCATAATCCCCAGTATGATATGTATTATTATCCTATATAACCCGCATTCCACTATAATGGGAAAATTCAGCAGGGCACATCCCCCCCGAGGTCTGTTAATGAGGCTTGCATTCCGAAGTTCATTTTCCACCATCGGATTCTTTAATTGGTTTTATATTTCTTAATTCACAAGTGCATGCGGATTCTGCAGATCATTATGTATGGCAGCCTGTTCATTTTCAGGATGACGGCAGAGAGACGACAAATTCTATTGTTTTAACAGAAATTTAGAGGAAAGTTTCTTGCTGTTTCCGTCTCCGTGGGGTTTATTAATATTATGTTGAAATGTATGATATACCCCCAGGTAAACTGTCAGATCAGGGAACTGGGATTCTATATAAACAGCAATTCTAACACTAAGCTATTACCATGGAAACCAACAGAATGTTTCTGCTGACTGATCACAGAAAAGTAATAATCACATAATATAACTTGCTCTGTGCGTCGGTGGGTTGAGAGGTCACCTACCTTCAGAAGCCAAATATCCACCTGTCTCTCACAGGGTTATTTACTACAGTGAGAATTCAAAGTGAATTTCCCATCTAAGGTAAAAATTCTCAATTCAGCTACTTTGGCCTTAAACCGATTCTATAATGTTAGGAACACAAAGTTGTATTCCTTACAGTATGGTGCCATCTAGTACCACTGCCTCTTGTGCCCCCCCCATCCCACCCACATAAAGGGTTAAAAAAACCTTTTTTACTCACCAGATTCCAGTGCCGATATTCAATGGGGGACCTAATGTGCATGTGCGGCGAGCAGTGTGAGCACATTAGGCCCCACTTATAGGAAAGTGTTGCCTCAATGCTTTCCTATGCGGCTATCACTAACACTGGATGTCCTCATGCAGAGCGTGAGGACATCCAGTGTCATTTAGGGGACCTGGAGTCCAGTAAACTTCCAGAAGCGGCTATATTTGAAATTCACTTTGAATTAACACCTTAGTTCCCACCTTAGTAAATATCCCTGTTAGTTTCACGATTTGCAAAGTTTGGTCAGAATGGAGACACACTTGTCATGCACCGCTTG